TCTTGTAATAAACTAAACCTTACTCTTTCGTATAAATAATATCATTCTTAGTTTTTCGTGTTTTCAAGTAACAAATTACTTTATTACGAATCTCATCAACACATTTGATTCGCGTATTTTTTTCTTAATTTCCGGTTCATTTCAGTATTCCGTTCCAAGAGACAAATATATATATTTCTCAAAACGACAACATACTTTGGAACGTCTCCTTCATATCAACATCCTGTACTTCCAGTACCCCACACCCTTCTTCCGATATCAAGTCAGAGAATAACAGAGTTTCCCTTGTTTCTTAGAAACTGGCTGGAGGGAAGCGAGGCGGGTCCGGTCACCGGCCGTGGTTTCTCGACTCATGGAGCTCCTGCACCAAAGAACCCTCACCCCCTCTCCGCTACGATCCCGAGGGCTTTGAGGACGGAGAAGTTGACGGCGAAGACATCCAGGACCTTCCCATTGAGCTGCGACGCCTGGAAGAGGACCAACATGACCCGCCCCAACGCCGACAGACATTCGCCTGCGCCCGGAGGGTGACGCCCCACGAGGTCATCTTTAACCACAAGTCCAAGAGCCTATCCGATATCTTGACTGTGGGGCAGCGGACGATGGTACGCTCCCGCTCGAGCGTGCCCAGTCTCGGAGTGGGCTCCGAGCACTCCGTCGCCATCAGCGTTCCCGTTGCCAACGCGAACAAGCCGAGGCTGGTCAAGCAGAAGATGTCGCTCTGCGATAAGAAAGTGGAGGAAGAGGGCGACTTCCGGGACTTGGTGAAGGCGTTGCCGGAGTTCAAAGTGTCGGGGTATGGGATAACCCGAAGATACGGCAACGTTTTCAAGCAGAGCTCCATGAACGAGGAACTCATGTCCGCGGAGAGGTTACGGGAGAAGGAGCGAGTGCGACAGAACATACAGAAACAGGCGTCACTCAACGAGGAGCTCATCTACCGACGAAACCGAACGCTTGACTCACTACGGGACACATTCTTCTCAACGTCGACGGGAAAGCGCTTCCAGCTGCTGAAAAACGGCCTCACCAGCAAATTGAAAAGCTCAAAAACAGGCATTGAGAAAGTAGCGGGTACCTCCTTCAAGAATGGTTTCGTGAGGATACTTCAGGGCTGGAAAGGGAGTGATGTAACCCCAAATACTCGATCTTCACCAACACATACTCCCAGCGAGACAGTACCCCCATGTACTCCTCCACCGGACAGCAAAAAGCCTTCCAACAACTTCTCTGGAAATGGGGATGAGAGTATCAAGAAGGAAACTGGACGGTCAGGGAGTGAACGTCGTCATTCGAGAGAAGACGGTTCTGATTCGTCCAAGGACAGTAGTCTACAAAGCGATACGAGTGTTGACTCGGAAGACAGTTTTGCTTCAGTTATATATGTGCCAAAACCCGATCCCACCACGACACAGACAGCGTCACCGCCCAAATCACCGCAGGCGACTTCTCCGAAGGTCAAACAGCCCACATCCCCTCAGATCAAAGTGTCGCCGCCGGTGACGAGCCCAAGAACTCCGCTCATCGAGGAGACGCCGCTGGAAGAGGAAGCGGATAACGAAGACCAGGAACAACTTCCACATGAAGTCGAGTCCCCAGCGCCTGAATCGAGTAAAAGCGAACGCCTAAGCCAGATACAAGAACTGCTAAGGTCTCGCGCGTTCCCTGTGACGAGCAGAATTCCAGGTACCGTTATTATCATACAGCATTGGCGTGTAATGAAATCCCAAGGTTAAAAAATGTGGTGGCTTGGTACGGCCCCAAAGGAGGAAGTAACAAGGCTAGAGAAAACTGTATAAAGACACTCTACCTACTACGAGGTGCTACCCAAACGTTCGGGGAATTTGAATTCCACGCGCGAACCGGTTGTGGAATGGCCTGCCGCCGCTAGATGGGGGCGAGCAGTACCTTAGTGAATTAGTGTGCCAACAGCCGTGAAGGCGAGAGGCCGCGTTCTTGAGTCTCGTGCGTTTATGTAACGTTGTGTTGTAGTGGTTAGGCGATTTTTTAAATGGCAGATTTTAAGGAGCAAGGAATCTGCATCAAATTTTGTTTTAAGCTTAAAAAAACTGCAGTAGAAACCCACCGCATGCTTGTGGAATCATTTGGTGAGAATGCTACGAGTCAAAGTAAAACTTTTTTGTGGTACAAAAGCTTTAAGGATGGACGAACGTCTGTCGACGACGATGAGTCCATGTTGATTTTTTTAATTTTGACATCCAAGACATTGTCCACAAGGAATTTGTCCCCCCTGGTCAAAATGTCAACGGGAAGTTTTATTGTGAAGTTTTGAAGCGGCTACGGGAGAGCATTAGGCGCAAACGTCCGGAAAAGTGGGAGAACAACTGGGTTCTCCACCACGACAACGCGCCCGCCCACACATCGCTCGTTGTTCGGCAGTTTTTGGCTTCCAAAAACACGACAGTGATTCCCCACCCACCCTATTCGCCTGACCTCGCCCCCTGCGACTTTTTCCTGTTCCCCAAAATGAAATTTCGATTGAAAGGCCGTCGTTTTGACACAATTGAGGAGATCCAGGCAGAATCGCAGGAGGTGCTTAAAACACTCACAGTTGAAGACTTCCAGGGATGCATGGAATCATGGAAAAAACGCTGGGATCGCTGTATCCATGTCCAAGGGGACTACTTCGAAGGAGACGGTGGAAACTAGGAGTTATGATAAGCAATTATCTTTTTATGGGCAAATTCCCTGAACTTTTGGGTAGCACCTCGTATTATTAGGATGATAAAATGAAGGAGGGCATTCATTGGTGATATGATTAAAGAGGCTGATCTCTTGCAATACCTAGGCGTCGGTGGGAGAATATTAAATTAGACCTGTGAAAGTATGGACTGAATTCAGGTGGTTTAAAATGGGGTCCAGTAGTGGGAACTTGTGAATATGACATATATCTCATGGGTTGTAGTATTATGGAACACTAGTAGGGCGAGACCATGGTCAGAAACTCTGATATTAGGGTACTTAAGACACTTCTGTAGAATATTTAGGACACATTCTACAGTCGAACATTAAGCCAATTGGTAAAAGTTGTTTACCTTAACTCAGATTCTGTAACAGATTCGAAATTGCAATGACAAACAAAATTATTAACCTGTAGCAAAAATGCAAAATTCTCAACCCACTGGGACTTCATTTCCACCTGAATGACACAGAAGCAAGAATTAGTCAACAGTTCTTCATGAACGAGTAACTGAAAAAAAAGAGTTAAATCTAATGTTTCACGTGCAATCGCACTTCATCTGGTTTGAACGGATTCCAGGAGTCGGGGCAACCAGGAGCCCTTTTCCGTTGGTACGTCGATCATCTGCCATGGTACTAGGACGACCTGAGCCCTTAGCTCGGCCTCTCCCTCGACTCTTGTCCCTTGAACTCTTCAATCCGGAAACAGACGACATGGACAGCGACTCCAGTGGCGTGTCATCTCCAGATTCTGTGAGCAGTGTTATCAGCGTTCTCACGGAAGAGCCGCCACAGACGCAACAAGAAGTAACAGGTAACAACTTTGAAGCTACTAAATGTAATAAAAAAATTTCGGGCCGTCAGCCATGTAGTAGAGTAAAACCCCGATTTGTCGAGACTATCACCATCACAAATGTGAAGTGACAGTCAAGCAGTGAGTACGGAAATGTAGAGGAAAGTTCAAATTGAACTTTCACCGCCGTAAAAATAATCTCACTGTATAGTGTCGAATGATAAGATTATTGACTGGTGAATTAGAAAGGGTATGGAAGGAAGAAGGCGTGGTCTAATGAGAGGTGAACCGGAATTTGGCCTGGTGAGTCTGGGGGAAATCACGAAAAACTTAAAGATAACCGACCTGGTGGAGGATATTTGAACCCGAGATCTCCCGAATACGAAACATAAGTGCTGACCCTGTTATCATAAGCTACAGGTTTTAGCAACAACACGTTAAATGTCTCATTTTAATGTATTTATGCCTTTCTTTTTAAACGTTATTTTACAATAGATTTTCTAAGTTAATTTATAATTTTCGTTTAAAACAGCTAGACCCTGGAATGTATTATATAGCAAGAAATCTATGGTTACTATAGGTACAGGGCCATTTCCTAGCCCACAGCTGTCGGTCAGTGTCAGCATTAGAACGCCAAGCAGCAGGAAGATAATAATTTTTTGTGGTTTTTCATACTGGGCTCTAATTTAATCACATATATATTCCGGTTTAACAATGTTTATACATTTTTCCGGTACCCAACTTTTTGTTGGCTCGATCTATAGATATTCGGTAGGACTCCTTGGACGAGGGATCGGCCCGTCGCAAGGCCTCTACCTGTACACAGGACAGCACAACACAGAAAAACGCGGACAAACATTCATGGCTTGAGTGGGATTCGAACCCACGGTCCCAGCGACCAAGCGGCAGAAGGCCCACGCCTCAGACCGCGCGGTCACTGCGGACCCCTCTAATTTAATCATGTTCTTTTTAAAAAAATACGGTTACATTTGACGCCATAATCAAGCGGGCGAAGTGCAATTATTAACCGGTTACACGCTAGTGGTAATTATGTGTATGACAGATCAATTTCGTTTGGTATGCTTACCAAAACACTGTTAGGTGAATGAATATTTGCTACGTAGACGGTTAGGGTGTGAAATTTAATAATTTTATTAATACTTGTGGTACGTTAAATGTAATCGTTTTTCTCTTAATTTACATTTTGTGTAATAAGTTGTGAAAGCAAAGATAAACACAAAAGCTGTCTGCAGTGAAAAGTATACAATTGTTCACAGACGTGCCGGTAGAAGAACACTCTCTCCCGACTGAATCTCTGTGTTCGTCCTCCAGTCTTCCTCCCCCAACCCCTGACAACACAAGCACAACTACCAGTCCGAAAGCTCCCGAAATCATCGCGGAGAAATTACTTCTCGAGGTGCAGGAGGCAGTGGAAGAAGAAACGGGAAGCAGCGAGTGCCTGATGACGGAAGAGCCTACAAGAGTCTCACCGTCTTCCCAGAGTCTCCTTGAAGCCGCAGCCGATGTTGCCAGCTCGCTGGAGGACGCCGTAGATGCGGTCATCCAGTCTAGCCCTCGCGCTCGGCGCCGAAAACTGGAGCTTCTGGATAACAACCCAGTGTCAGTGCTGCAGAATAATTGCTTTAGCAGAAGTAGTAACAGCAGCACATGGAGCCTGCACAATTCAGACAGCAACAGAAAATTGTACAGCGACTGGAACCCCAACAAACCCGTAAGTCCAATATTCGATCAGAGGAACAAATTCTCGTGCAGTGTGGGGCACTCTCCCGGTGAGAGCTGGATAGAGAGACACCACGACGAAGAACGCAAGGAGGAAACGTGGGACGAGAACTGCCGACAGCATCTGGCGGACTTCGCAGAGAAGCTGAGCGAGAAGTTGCTGGAGGAGATTGACCAGTACCAGAAGCAGACAAGTCAAAAGCCACCACTGCACAACGAGACTCACAATGTGTTAGAGCATCTCGATGACCCTTATCTATCGCGACTGAACGAGGAGCTACAGGATCTAACCAAACTGAGCAAAGAGCTTCAAGAGAGAAACTCGTACCTCGCCAATTTGAACAACTCCACCACAATCTTGGAAGAAATCCAACCTCCATCCATCCTTATTCGTGATCCCCTTAAAATTACTGTGACCCAAAACCCGTTGTTGGAGACGCCAGTTGAGCTGAACTTCAACAGTGTGGCCCTCGACATGTGCAAGAACATCGAAAAGGAGCCAAAGAGGGATGGAGCCCTGACCATTAGCAGCGAGTCCACAGATGACCTCTCCAGCGCAAATGAAGTGGTCCTCGCGTTCAACTCATGTTCCCGGCAGACCAGTGACGACACCACAGAGGATCTGGACACGTGCGTCGAAGTGTTGGGTAAGGAGGACAACAGCGAGCTCAAGGAGGATGAGATACCTCAGGAGATATGCGACGAAACAGTATCAGTAGATCTGGCGACAGAGGAAGACAGTGCATTAACAGTTCCTGAACAATGTGACACAGAGCAGAGTCAACTTCTCAGCAGCATTGCTGGAAGTGTGATATCTTTACGCGCTGGATACTCGATGGAATCCAGCGACGCAGAACAAACAGCTACGAGTGGGAGCGAGTGTAGCCGACGCGATAAGACAGCGAGCACTCTGTCTTTAGGACCCAACTCCATAGAACTTAGCGACGCCGTCACAGGTAGCAGCAGCGACTGCAGCCGTGACATGCGATGCGCAGACAGAACGGCACAGTGTGATGGCAGATCGTCCTCCGAAGAAGCTCCTCCACGAAGGGTCGCGCCGAAGGCCGAAACTCAAGAACCGCCAGAAATACTAACGAAAACGCAGAGCTGTGCGTCATCACTCAGTGGCTCCACCTCACAGGAATCCCTGCCATCTGACAACGGGGGTGGAGCCATCACCTTTCATCGGTACTATCACGTGTTTCGGGAGGGAGAGCTTGACCAGCTGATAGAGCGGTATGTTGAGAACTTGCACATAATCTCGTCCTACTACGACCATGCCAATTGGTGCGTGGTGGCCGAGAAGGTCCACGTGTGGACCATCTGACGTGCCACTTCTCTAAACGCAGGCAGTGAACCTATTGTTTAACATGGAAGTCGAATGCCATCTGCGTGTCAATTTTTCGAAACGTGTGTATTTGGGTGCTATAACCGTAATCTCTTTCGTTGATTACGTGACTTCTGGGGGTCAATTCCCCTCCACCTACAAGGTAAAAATAATGGTTCCTCAAGCCATCCCAGCAAAACAAAACCATAAACACGAGTAAGTTATAAAACTGTATGAAATATGAATGAAAAATTATTATATTTGGGTTTGTTTCAAACATAACGTTGGTAACCAGAAACAAATACTCAAATTATAGATTTAATAATGCAAATAACGGTCCTGACGTACATCATGAAATCCTGTCAAAATTATTTTATGACTTGAAAAATGTATGACTTTCAAAGTAAATTAGTTTTGACATGAAATCATAAATATGACAATAAGCCTTCTTACTTCATATGTTCACCATTCCTAAGTCATAACTAGTTTTTGTGAAAAGATAGTTCACAACACTTAACAAACTAAATTCATTGGATAACTAGTTTATTCTACACTAAAAAATATATTTTATAACCAATATGCTATTTGGACCTCTACATCAGTCTACCTTGCAAGTATCAGAATGCACTTACCGAACACGGTAGTGCTACTAGCGTAAGGTCTCAAGTATGTATGGAATGATGGTCAAGAAATTATGAGAAAAGAAAATTATGTACAGGAATTTCAGTTATGTTTCAGATCTTAAGTCGGTTAATGTAGAAAGACAACAAATTTGTGTAGCAACAGTGGCTATGGAACCATACAAATTTTGATTTCAAGGCTACTGTAATCAGCAAACTTTTTAATGCATTCTCATTACGTTTCCTATAATTTAAAACATTTATTTCATAACAAAACTGTAAAATGTTCTAGGATAATGGCACTTGATAAAAAAAGGAATGCCTTGTGACAACGCATGTGAGGAGAATTTGAAGAAAAGAGGGGGAAATGGCTATTGTTTATTTGTTTGTATAACAGAACATGCAATACTGCTGCACATTCCAAATGGATGAACTCAACATTTTATATTCACTGGACAAACCAAGCACAACCAAAATAAACCTCATAAATAAAGCCTGACAATCCATGGTGGTCTTCTGGGTGAAAACATAAGCACATATTCCTCACAAGAATTTGCCACCCATTTCTTGATCTACACAGCATCATAACCCACAAGACTATTATGGCTTAGTCACTGCTCTGAGAAACTCAAAACTCTAAAGCTTGTTATCTTCAAACCAAACTCTGGCCTCTAAACAGAAAGTATCTGTCCATTTCACTATATTATCCTCTTATCTACCATTACTTCAAGTCTGGTACATGATTTCATAACATCAAGAAAATTCGGAATTTTTAAATGCATTGCCATTATCGACCCAAAACAGTCTTGCCATAAGGTTTATACTGTATAAACAGCTTATTATCAATAATTTGAAAAAAAAACCAGTTGATATAAATTTTATATTTACTATTATTATCACAGGAGGACACTAGCAGGATAAAAGCAAATGTGCAGTACAGTTTCCTTTTCATCTAAGAAGTTGCTTTCCATTAGAAATCAGCTTATTTTGATTTGACTTGTCAGAAATATCTGTCAGCTTCATCTGATCTGCTGCTTGCTTTTCCTGCTTGCAATGTACAAAACTTCCCCATCATAATCACCTAAACCTCAATAAAACTTAAAATGGTTCTCTCTCTTGTCCATTCAATGCATTTCATTCTGCATTGGCAAACTAATTTCATCTTCTGTCACCTTCAACTGCATTTATCTTTATTTTGCTGTCTACAGTTGTGAATTGTTGTTTTACATTCCCTTTCTGTTGATCTCCATCTGATTTTGAATAGCCTGTTTATTATAACCTCATTTGTATGGCATACCTCCCTCCTCCCACACAAGAGACCAAAATCAGAAGTTTGGTAAGGGGAATTAGATGTGGTTCTGTGACTTATCTCCTTTTTCATGCAAACATCCCCACATTATGACCTAACTTAGTTTACAAAACACAGGATGTTTTTTAAGTAAGACAGATTTATCCCCTTACAATCATGTGGTCTACTTTCTATAAAAATAACAGTTTTCACCGTTTCCGACAAATACTTTTCACATGCAACCATAATTTAACTTCACTTTAGCATCAATGGTTTATAAACAGGAATGAAGCAGTTATGGCCTGATGTAAGGTATAATCCTAGCATTTACCTGGAGGGACTGAATAAAATCATGAAAAACTTAGTCAATGTTGTCAATCTGTGGGCTGAGATTTGAACTGCCAAATATGAAGCATTAGTACCAACAACTCAACCATGTTTGGTGTAGAGTGGTACAGTTCTGATAGAATATATCATAGTATAATTTCAGTCTTAAGAAGTATATAATGTCCTGCAATAATTCTTTCTATTCATCATTGCAGTTTGACAACATTTCATCAGAAACAATTAAGCTAATCCCAGAAATTCTGTATACAGGAAATTTCCCCCCCCCCCTCCCAACACACAAAAATATCTACACAACACTGCAAAAGACAATTGCTGTATTTAACACACCTACCTATTCATTCTATTAAATTCTAACCTTTCAAAAAGAAAGTGGTAAACTAAATCTGTTCAAATAAATTCAATTAAATGAAAGCAGAGTCATGATAAATTTCAACTTACCAGCTGCTTTTGATTCCTCCAGTCATTCCTATAACCAATAAAATCTCCAACTGTGGTCCTAACACTGTACTGCTATTAAAACACATGAATGAACACTGGATTTTAGGAAACAATGCAAAAACTTTGTAATAACATAATAATGCTTAGTCTAATTTTGTAAGGTTATGTATATTCTTAGGCCTCTTGAAAGAGACCAACTTGATATTTGGTACAATTGGTTAAAATTTAGGATTTCAGTAGAAAAAAATTGTGTGCAGAGGTGTTTAGAAATTACAAAGTTGTATTTAAATGTTTTTCTATTCAGAGTAAGATATCCAATTTCTAAGAAGAAATACTTTGCCTAATAAAATTCATTATACAGAAATTTTTATCATTATAACAATGAAAATACCCAAAAATTCACCTAGAAATATATATACATATATAAATGCTTTTACTCAACATTATAATTTATTTTAGCTCCATGCAGCAGTCCTTGAAGAATTGATGGTAAACAAAACTAAATTTTTCAGAAAGACAATTTTTCAGTTCTGCCAACATTTCAATAGTTCTCACTACATTTGTGGAAAATTGTAATTATATAAACAAGAATTCTCATACAAACTCAAAGAAAAAATAGAGAACATTAATAAGAACTGTTTATTCACTGGAACTAAAGAAAATACCTAGTCAGGTCTAGCAATGCACTGAACTGAAGGTTTATCTCAAGACAATGGCATGGGGAAATTTCTTAGTGGTGAGAAAATTAATTCTCTTTCACCTGACAATTTTAAGTTCATGCCAGTGGTGGAAAAATATTTTGTTCATATGTACTGTTTTGTAAACTAGAATTGTTTCACTTGTCATGACAACAAAGTTAAAATATCACAAATATCACTGAAGTATGCATAGAGAATTAAATGTTGACAGTCCATTGCTGCAAATAATTATTAAGATTCTCAATATTTTTAAAACAAAAGCATTCATTAGGTAATAAAGATTCAAAAGCTACAGTTCATCCTAGAGAATAATGGCTCACTACAAAGGATCTGTATTCAATGGAAAGGCAATATGAATGATTGTGTATGCTATAGCACAAGTATAACTTACCAGCATTTACTGGCATGGAACCTATAGAATCACATCAAGTGAAGAGGAGATTTGTGTTAACAGATTACGTTCTTAAATCATTCTTTATAAATTAAAGAGAAAGTGCCTTGAATGAGAGCATCTAGTATCTTCTAACATCAGCAGCTAAACCATTAAGACATGTGTGCCCAGCCAGACTTACATCCTGCTTAAGTATTTGTGGCACGTTTCTTTGTCCAAGGTTCTTCATATATATACACTGGAAGCTAAAATCAGGCTTAAAAATTAATACAATATTAAATGTTCATACAAAACAAACTTAACACTGTTGCATGTAACAAGTCTTCTCCATAATTTTGTTGTTCCTTGACCAACTCTTGATCTAAATCACTATTTTTTCACAAACTTCAGGGACTGGAAGGATGCAAAACAGACCTATACAAGCCCTGAATGAGGTTAATGGTGTAACAGTGAACGTAAGTTTTCATTTCATGCAGTGCATTTACATTTATTGTAACAATTTCATATTAAAACAAAAAACAAATTTTGCTACTTCTTAGGTACAATGGTTATAACTGTGTGAAAACACATCAACTGGTGATACTTATGTATTTTTCTTGCCTGTACAATATCATTTGTCATTCATAGTGTAAAATTTCCTAGTTATGCTTATAAACGTGACTCACAGATTTCTGAAGATGTTCTTCAACAGGGCAGAGGTTAAAATTAATAATAATTCAGCAAACAACAAAACCTTTCAGGAGATATCAAAACTGCAATTTTTTATTCCACTATCCAAAAGAACTATATTTTCACCATTTTGAAGCTTTCTGTTAACTCTATACACCTCTAAAATTCATTTGATACATGCAAATCAGCAACAATAGTTAAATAAAAGAAATGCACATTAAATACAGAAGAATGGAATGTACATTCTTGGCCAAACCACAACACTGTTACATGTACAATCCACGACTGTAATCTTGAGACTTGCGGGGTGAGGAAGTGGGGTGAAGGAGGAAATATAGTGTCAGCCTTTAACGCTAACAGTCACATACTATAGATCTTCACATGTGGACAAGCTTGTGTATTTCCCCATATGAATGAATGAATGTGAATTAATGTTAATGGCAATGACAGGAAGGTAAAAGCATGATCTAGGACATGCTCACAGACAATAGTTTGTTCACTCCTCTACAATTTGGATCTAGTGGTGGATAAACTGGTGGGGTGAGGGGGACACCCTCTCAACACACAGATAGAAGAACCTTACATAAGTAGCATAGCAAAAACAAAGCTAGGCGGGTAATTTCACGCTCTTCAGTACGGAAGTGACTCCATGACGTTTTTCATTATGTAAGTAATAAAGGAGATACGATCCAAGCCCCTCTGATACATCTGTGCATGCACTGTCATGACTGACAGGCACCACTGTTCATTTTATGGTTAAATCCTACTTTGTGTTACATGGCTTGCAATCTGGGATTGAAAAATGTATGACCTCATCCTCTCAATTTGGTTATATGCCCCACCTGTATGTAAAGAAAGACTAATAATATGCAAACCACCCTCGCGTGACATCTTCAGTCGGTCAGAAAGCACACTGATCAATCTACTTAAACAATGAACTGAATCAGACCCATACATACAAGGGTAATTTGCTGCATGATAAAACGTGAGATTAAGGTAGAAAGATGGCCTTCAGATCTCAATGAGATATCACATACTAACAGCACTTTACAATAAGTTTCACCACAGCAACGTGAAGAGTAAAACTAAATATGGATAACGTTCATATGAACACATCACCACCCACCATCACTACCAGGACACGACACAACTCTATCTGTCAGTGACAAATGTACCAACACAATTTCATAACAGTGACAACTACTTGCACGTTCCAGGGTCAGTGAAAACATGGTCTAGGTCCTAAATGAAGGAACTATATGGCATTACAAGCCAAGAAAACTAAAGGACGTAGTTTACATTTCAGTGTAATGAACACAAATGCTACTCGTGTTCTATGAAGGTGTGAGTGAGGTAAAATGTTTGTCACATCAGTGCAATCATGTGACTCTATTAGCAAGGAATTTAGTTCATAAGCCTCATCTCTGTATTTCTTGTACCATAATAGGAAACAAACAGTTGCAACTCGAAACAAAATGGAGGCTGACATGTAACAAAACGCCAAACTTCAAATACAGAATGTAGTCTTTTGCCAGCATACCAAAATAACGCTAGGCATTCAAAAGCAGTGACATATGAAAAACGAATGCAATATTTAGACATTTGGTGACAGCTTTTAACACTTGTATTTCAGACTTTGGCTCCCTTACTTGTAACTGAAAGCAAACAAAACAATTATAAATAATAAATATTGTTAGTTTTTTTGTATAACTTTTTAAAACATAAAACTACATAGTGAATGCAAGTTACAACTTCAGTTTTTGTGTTTATATATGCAGTGCTTTCATTTTGTGGCAGTACACCAATAAGCGGTATATTAATTCAAAAAAGATAATAAAAATTTTCTTACAACTGCTGGACATAAAGTACTGCATATATATATATTTCATACTTATAATTATAAGTATACTTTACAAAGTGGGCATATTTGCAAAAATTATATAGCTGTCATTTTCCTTTTAAATGTCATTGACACAATAACACCATCTTTGGAAGAATTCATGTTATAATTTTCTTGTGACAATGCTCTTAATGCATAAGTGGTTTAAGCTGGTTATAATTACAGTGATATATATATATATTTTTATATGTAATTTTTGACTAAACTTCTTCAGAGGCACTGAGTAATTCTATCCATCTTATCCTGACCCTCAGTCTGTTTTTCATATCCTAAAACATGCACAATTGTTCAACATTGTGTTGGGAAAGCATATAACATAAGTGAAGGCCTCTTATTTGCTGTTCTTCTTAATATTAAATAATTTTTATTCAATTAATAAAATCTTTTGGGGTTATCAATGTCAGTTCATTAAAAGTAAATGTTTCATCAGGATAGTGATCCATCGCTATCCTAACACGGCTGATAGCCCAAGATTCAATTATGTTTGTCATTGTGAAAACTTCAGATCATACAGTTCTGATTCAACATTTTAGAGTCTATTTTTATTTGTGACCCGGCAAATATCCTGATCGTCATTTTTCATATCATACCATCCCGCTCCCACACAATGTAGAGCATTGTTCTGTGCAAGCCTATATCTTATCTACATTCATACAGCTTTCTTCTTTCAATATGGATATAACAAACATGTTCTTAACTGAAGTAGACATTTCTATATGAGCAGTAGGAACATAAATCATGGATATCAAAAAGTATTGTAACACTGCAAACAAAATATAAATTTGACATCCAAATAATGCTACGTCTGCTGCTCCTCTTAATATCATGGCTATTCTTAAATAAGCACACTATTCAAACTCAAATCTTTCCTATTTATGCCCAGGGATATAAATGTACACTGAACCATGGCCAGCTTCTAGGACACTATTAGATATCTTTTACCTATTACAGATGCAAATGCACCTCTTCCAAGAAGGAAACCATAAACTGGTTCTATGCCACAGATGTACAGAATTTTACCAACTACTATAACAAAATTAGTTAAATTGCAATTCAATTGTCAGTGTCATCTTCTCGTGTCATGCCAACAGTTCGTACACTTTTTAATCTGTTAGCAATGGCAGAAAAACAAACTGTACACAATTTGGTTGCTGTAAAACATGTAAGATTTGAGGTTTTCACAGCGGTGAATATGAAGATTTCTGTCTTCTGGGTTGTTGCGCTGTGTAGTCTGGTCGATGTTAACCAACGTGTAAATCATGATTAATTTTCCACGTTTTTGTAATTATTTCAATAGTACATATTTACTGTATATGAGCAAAATATAAGTATTTAATATCTCATAACTTCTGCAAACCTCAAACATAGGAGTTGGCAATCCTAAATACAATATTGTAATGCAAAATATGAATTCAAACATTTTAGTACCAGTATCAATAAGGTTTTCAAAAGTAAATTAAAATAAACAGCGAATCCTCCACATCAGCACTGGAACCTTAACTACTTTTGGATTGCGTAGGGTTACTGGGTTTTTGGACCCTGTCCCATCATCCAAGGTTAAAATGTATAAGGTGTTTCGAAAACAGACATGTATTTGTCTTCAGGTATGCAGGGCAGGGTCACCTACTCTGTTGGGTCAATTACTGATTGTCGTATACATTTTAACCTTGGACGATGGACAAAGTCCAAAAACCCAATAAACCCTACTTAACTACTTTGTAGGGTAATGATAAAAATAATTCATTACAGGGTCTCAGCAATAGGAACACAAAATAAAACAAAACATATAAGATCATAATCTGAATAGAAACACAATAAGTTAGCTGATCACCCTCATATACATACGTAATATGAGTACTTGAGTAACACTTCCAATGGATAAATACAACTTTCAATATCACAACTTGACTTTTATAAAATTAATATAAAGTAAAAACGTTTGAGGAACAATTAGTGTAAGTGTAAATTACAACAAAGAATAAGCCAATAAAAAATAAATAAGAGAAGACTTTTAAGTTAATGATCTCAAAAATGAGTTCACAATCTTTCTCTTATTTTATTAACAAAAGCAGTATTGACTTCACACAAACTTCCATGAAGTTTTTGTGTATATCAAAAAAATATTCGACAGTAACATATATCAATAACATATCCAATCCTGCCAAATATCTTTGCAATTATACTGATGAGAAAAGCATCAAAGAAACAGGTTTAAAATAAAATATGAAAAAGTTTGGCCTTGAAATATGCTAAGTATTATTTGTAAAATGGTACAATACATTCATCTTACAATCCCCTTAGGATTTTCAGGCTCGTGCTATTATAGCAGTTTCCTATTTCACATTAGTTAGATGTGCAGAAGTTGGAGTTTTTACACGTGCGCTTTCATTACACATCATAATGTTAAGTGTTTGGGTTACCCAATGAATATACTTCACAACAAAGCAAATCTCTTGCAGTGACACAATGAATCTATGAAATTCTTAGTTTTGTACATTCACAAGATGTCAGCACTGCCAACTGCCATCTATCTGCAACCAAGTATCGGTACTGATTGTGTATAAAGAAGCGCAGTGTGTTGCAACCCGCAACAAAACGTTACAGCTGAATATGTCGGCTTTGGTGTGGACTGAAATGGAATACAATTATGACGTCTGCTGGGTTATCAGTGGCGCTCACAACTAATTGCAGTGGATGACTAAATGAAACCCAAGTTCCCATAGTAGATTTAATCACAAGCAATATTCTGTGTTGATGCAGAAAATATTTACAAATTAAACCCCATCACATTTTAGTTGCAGTTTCTTGGTCGTATCAATATGAAAGTTTCTCAAAATCTGATGGGTACAATAAAAGATCCGAGCGAGTAGAAAAAACAACACTTTATAAACAAAAACTGCAACCGCAAACTTCAGTGGAAAAACAAGCACACCCTGAATGAGACATAGTTTTACGAGTTACATGTTGGTGATAAGTGCATTCAGGTTCCCTCAAACTAGAAAAAATATTGGAGAGGTTCATACAAAGAGAAGTAGTTTTCCAGACATGAAGCACATAAATAAATAAACGCAATCAGAGACCTACCAAATGTCGGAAAACCAAACACCATATCCACTTTACAAAATACACAGAAGATGACTGTCTTGTGAGTCTGATAGAAGTTTACTGACATTTCATTGCCCCGATGATGGAGGCATCAAGGATCTCTGAAATGTCGGTAAACTTCTGACAACATAGTGTAACAACCAAGGAGATTCACTGCAAACCTCAAATCCTACACAATACACAGCCCCAGCAAGAACAAACATTATAGGAGGATCAGGTAAATGCCACATTCCAAAGATAATTCCTGTGCTTTATTCTGAAACACTACTGAGGCGCTGAAATAACCCAAACTTTTGTCCTTAGCAACCTAGACATATGATCCTGTTCCCATGGTCACTAACTTTGCAAGATAGTACAATGTAGTGTGAGTCAGTGTTGACCTCTTTCTACAAGATTAAAAAAGTGTTCATACTTTCTGTAATGTAAATATAACACTGATATTTAAAAAGAATAATATTATAATGTATGATACTTGTTAAACAAAACAATTTACATTGTTCAATTGTTTCCTGTTGTTATAGTCTATTCTCTCCACTAATCAACTTTGTGCCTATCTTGAATCAATACTCAAGACCTTTTGATATTTAATGTCTAATTATGAATTTCAAAATCAGTATTAAATGTAATCAATGGGGTTTTACTCATTATGAAACAAACAAAACTAAATAAACAAACACAAATATATATATATATTTGAAGAAGAAACTCAAAATCTGCATATAACATGTTGTGTTCAATAAAAATGTTTGACAATAACCAAAAGTAATTTAAAAGGGATGGTTCCTTCATTCACCTGAAAGTCAACTGAGTTGTGAACACAGATACAACTTAAGTTTTACTTTTCTTACAACTTCCTTCCATTGCATTTATGAATCCTGTTATATGTAAGGCTTATATGAGGTTGAACAATGAAATAACATGTTCTGATGTTTTAGTAAGTTCAAAAATTTGTGTTTAAGTTGGTTGCAAATAAAAATGTACCTGCATGGTGGGATAATTGTTTGTTGGGTACCCTAATCTGAAAGCTTAACTTACCAGATGTTTTGTGGGTACTCATGATTCCCACAGAAATGTCAGGCAGAATAGGGTTTTCTGATACCATTTGTAGCCTGGAAAAACTGAAAGAGCTAAGTGCCCGTTTTGAAGAAAAGTAGATTTTCCTACCAATGTGAGCTATGTTCCAAGGCTCATGCACAGCAAAATAAGCTATGTACCTGTGTTGCTTCTAATAGTTTCAACAGTCATCCATAGATAGCACTAGAGGTATGTCCGCTATGCTTGGAAGTTCTAACAGAGCTATGTTCCATCTGCCATTGTCTTCTACTTCAGCCAACTGTGTTCATTCCGTGTCATTGTCAGTGCAGCATCCAATGTTTGAAATGGATCTTCCAAGTACAAGTAAAGCAATCGTGCATAATCCAAGCCCAAAAGGCTCATTTAGGAAACAACAGCATGAAACTAAGATCAGTGGAAAGCCATATTTAACGGGAAAGATGAAACAGATGTCTGGAGGAGATCCCATGTTTTCACAGGTTAGTTTCAGGTTATGAAACTTATAACGTAAGTTAGGCTAAAACATTATCAACAAAACTAGCAGGTAATATACCATAAGTAGCACGAATGTACTTACATCGTTTCTATTTTCGTAGGAGAAATGCTGATGTCACTACCAATGCAAAGAATTAGAAGACGACTGAAAGATCAGATTGTTTACAGATTTCTACAAGCAGGATCAAAATACACAGGGTACCTATCTACTTAGTCTAATCGAGATTCTACCAGTGCAGAGGAGATGCCATGGCTCGTACCAGTCCCCATCAGAAAGTCGACGCCAGTCGACTGTGAGTTTTTTCATTCCTAATGGCAAAGGAGACCATATCAGAGTATGTAAAAAGACATTCATGAACGTTTTTGGGACTTCAGTCTTCAAAAAGGGTTGAACTTCTAGTGAGAAGAAAGAAGATGGGTGCAACAGTCTATAAAGACAATAGGAGAGAGAGCTAAGAAATTTCAAATTCACTGTAGCGGATAGGAATAATGTGAAGAATCACATCAGCTCCATACCTACCGAACCAAGTCACTACAACTTTTCAAGTTACATATTTTGTAATTTTGAATTTCTGACTGATGAATGTCTCCTCTCTGGAGGATTATCTTATAGACGTTGAATATATAATTGGATGCATTGCAAGTGTTTAACTATTCTTTTGCTGAACCCTTAACTGGACTACAGTATTGCAGAAGACACAGTTTCAACTCCATCAGTACCGTGCTTGCATTTGAGTTCAGACTGTGTTAACAAAAATGAAATTTTTCTTTTTGCGATGGGGAAGCAAAAATTGGTGGAATAAACTTTAGAAAATGTTATTGAGACTGGGGTGTAATTTGTAATGCATGGGAGTGTGTTACAAAAGATTATTATTAATACTTCTTCTTCTTCTTCTCCTCTTGCACTACAGCCATTGATGGGCTACGGCATCCCGAACAATATGTCCCCATCTCTTCCTATCTTGAGCTACCTTCTTCCAGTTGCACACTTTCATCTTTCTCATATCTTCATCTATCGCATCAATCCACCTTCCCCTTGGTCTTCCTTTAGGTCTTGTTCCCCACAATTTCTGGTTTACTACCAAATGTGGCAGTCTATCCTCTCCCATTCTCACCACATGTCCCGCCCATCTTAACTGTTTGAATTAAATATATCTCACAATGTGCTCATGATGGACCAATTCTTCTAACTCCGCATTATATCTAATTCTATATGATCCATCATGATTCTTTAGGGGGCCAAAGATTTTCCGTAGAATTTTCCTTTCAAAGCACATTAACTTGCTTTTTACTTGAGATGTGAGTTTAGAAGATTCTGCCCCATAAGTTATTACCGGTCTAATAAGTGTCCTGTAGAGTCTTAACTTTGTGGTCCTGGAGAGAATTTTAGATTTATGATATAGAGTGAACAAACCAACAAATATTAACACTATAATGGACACTATTGCCATACGCGTTTCGACCTCAAGAGGTCATCATCAGTGGCATCAGGGAAATTAATACATATAGTCAAATGGTTCGAGCAAATTTCATAATTAAAGTAGAAGGTAATTGACAAGATGACTGCACTAGATGCTGTTATTCACAGGAGTAAAACTGGCACTTAGCTGTTGTACGGTGGCCGTTGCTGGTCTCGGCGAGCTGTACTTGCGTCGTCTGTACCTGTGAACTCCAGAACCGTCGGCGAGAGACTGTCAGTTGGAAATGCATGGGTATATATAAACTTGAAATCAGGGTGGCCAACTATTGAAAAAAATACTTTCTCCTGTTTAATGCTAGGTCAAATAATACCTTAGAAGCTTTGGTGTTTTGTTCGTTGATGATGGCTTTTTGTTGACTACATTTGTATATATGGAATTTTTGTAAGATATCTATCATTTTACCTTTAGGAGCTATTCTTAATATGTTCATGATATCATCTATGGGGCCGTATTCGTGTCCGTGTTCAAGGATGCGTTCTGCATATTTCGATTTAGTTAAATTGAATCTGATGTCGTGGACGTGTTCTTTAAATCTAGTTTAGAAATCCCTACCGGTTTGGCCTATATAGACTTGCTCGCAGCTTCGGCATTTCAATTGGTACACACCACTATTATTGTATTTGTTATCCCGTTTTCTTGAACTGCATTTGAATTTTATGGTGTTGTTAACTTTATATGCTACTTTTACGTTTGTGTTTTTGAATATTTTAGTAAGTGTTCTAATGCTATTATTAAAAAACGTATAGCTCGACCATAATTTATTAGATTATACTATCTTGCAATATCATTAAAGTTGTAAAGCTGTGTCCTATTTCTTGGATGAGTAGGGTTTCTTTACCAAATTCTTCTTTGGAGACTGGTATTTTGTGCAATCTGTTAACAAGGAAATTGAATGCAGCTTGTTTGTGGGAGTTGGGATGGTTAGATGTTTTGTGTATTACTATGTCAGAGAATGTGGGTTTCCTGTAGATGCCCAATTAGAATTCTGTCAGGTGTCTGTGAATAGCGAGGTCTAAAAAGTTAATTTTATTATTATTTTCTGTTAAGGTTTAAGGACTGTTGGAATGCATTGTGCCACATAAAAAGGTGTCATCTAAAGCAGCTTTAAATTTGCTTCAGTGGATATTCACTTATTTCCATACTGCACCAATTGGAAGTGTTAAGTCAGCATGTTTTACTGTATACGGCAATTCTAAAACCAGTTTGGACATACAGATGCCAACTTTGGGGTACAGCAAGTATCTCCAACATTGAGAAGATTGAACGCATCCAGTCCAAAGTTATGAGAATCACTGCTAACACACCATGGTTTGTACCGAATTGGGTTATTCGGCAAGATCTTCAAATACCCTCTGTGAAAGAGGAAATCAAGAACTTCAGTGAAAAATATCACCTGAGACTAAGCGCTGATCTGAATCAACTAGCCACAGACTTGTTGAAAAGCCATTGCGTTAAGAGACATCAGACCTCGCAAATAGATTTAACTCAAATTGATCCTCAAGAAAGCTGTAAAGTAATGTACTAGCTAATTTTTCAGGAAGATTGTCACAGGCATGTATTCCGCACATCATTAGCCAATATCAGAAGATTTACTGAATGTCCATGTAGGACAGATTGTAAATATTCAGGGATGTTATAAAAAAGTCCAAAACCAAGAATAAAAATAGATAATACTATCCACAATTTTATACGGAACTGAAAACTGGACATTGAAAAAGGAAGACAAAAACAGAATTACAGCTGCTAAGATGAAATTTGTGACACACTATTAAGTACACTTGGATGGACTATAAAAACAAAAGAAGACATACTTAAAGAGTTAAGAACAGAACCCACTTTGGACAACATTTTAATATGTAAAAACAATTGGCTTGAACATCTTAACAGAATGCAGCGAGAAAGACTTCCTAAACTATCAAAAAACTACACACCATGCACATGAAGAAATCCTGGAAGACCGCAGAAGAGACTTTTAGACTACGACGCCAGAGCAGGGCAATATACCCAAACTCCTTGACCATTTGATGATGAAGATAAAATTTCAGCCTGTGCGGAATGAAATGCTTGACATTGTGTTTCACCAAAATGTCCTACTGTCAGAGGTCATTATCTCTGACATCCTGCACTTGGGTTAAGAATTTGCTGTTAATTCCAAGAATCATATAAAACACACAAACACTTCATCAGGCAGTACACATACTTACCAATGGAATTTAAACACCAGCCTAGACCTACCGATAGGAATGTCACCATTGACTCCTTTGACATGTCAGTGATAAGGCGGACTGTGCAAGAATTTTACGCAATACAGTGTGTCAGTAAAATAATGGTGGGGTAACAAACAGTCATAGGTTTGGAACAGAGCAAGATAGAGACATGAAATAAACGTCAAAATAAAGAGAAACTCTCCAATTTTTCGATACGTAAACAGATTCTAGCTCAAACGCATGCGCGCTGTGTTACAAGGTCAAAAGCCGTGTGAAGCTTGTTAGTCGCCATGATTACGGTGCAGAGGAAGATTCAATGTGTTTTGTGGCTTGCTAAGTTTGAGTCAGTTACACTTGTTAGGCGTGAATACCGTCGTGTGTTTAATGAAGAACTACCACACGAAAATAACATTCGTCGTTGGGACAAACAACTCAGAGAACGGGCAGCCTACTGAAGCAGTCACGTCCAGGACGACCATCAGTGTCTGACGATACCATTGAAGCTGTGCGAGCAAGTTATCTGCGTAGCCCGAATAAATCAGCGCGGAAGTGTTCTGTAGAGTTAGGAGTTTCAAAAACAACTGTTCACAACGTTTTAAAGAAACGACTACGCTTTACTGGTTATAAAATTAAGGTGTTACATAAAATTTATCCACAGGACAAAATTAAACGATTCGAATTTGCTACAGACATTCTGGATGGGTTAGCTCATGTTGAGGAATTTTTAGATAAGTTTATGTTCAGCGATGAGGCTACGTTTCATGTTTCAGGACACGTCCATCAGCATAATGTTAGAATATGGGGTAATGAACCTCCATATGCCATTATGGAACAACGACGTGATAGCCCAAAAGTTAATGTGTGGTGCGCAATTGGACGAGACAGAGTTATCGGCCTCTTCTTTTTTGCTGAACAAACTGTGACGGGAAAGAACTTCCTGGATATGTTAGAAGGGTACGCAGTGCTCCTCCACATTTTGCCACATTCGTGCGGGATTACCTAAACCTAACATTTCCTCAGCGATGGGTCGGACGAGGAGGGTGGATAGCCTGGCCTCCACGCTCTCCAGATCTTACCCCTATGGATTTTTATTTGTGGGGTTATGTGAAGCAACAAGTGTTCTCTGTCCAAATAACAAATTTGGACCATTTGAAAGAACGGATCACTGAAACTGTTTCATCTATCACACCGGATGTTTACGTTCGTGTATGGCAAGAGCTTGAATATCGTCTTGATGTCTGCATGACAACTAAAGAAGTGCATATCGAAATCTAATGAACAAGTAGGGTTCTTGAAGAGTTTCTCTTTATTTTGACGTTTATTTCATGTCTCTATCGTGCTCTGTTCCAAAAATATGACTGTTTGTTACCCCACCATTATTTTACGGACACACTGTACAGAAGAAAGTACCAAGCTGCCCCAAGCTACTGCCCATAATTAAACAAAAATTTGACTTTCCATGGGGTGTTGATTCTGTACGGAATATTTTACATAACTTACGGTTTAAGTGGAAGAAATGTCTAAGTAAACGCAAGATCTTGATTGAAAGGCCGGACATATTAAACTGGCGAGGGAGGTGTTTAGTGAATATTAAGACGCTTCGCAATGAAGGAAGACAAATTTCTACCTAGATGAAAGCTGGGTGGACAGCTGGCAAAGTGCGGAAGTTAAAGGGGTATGCTGTGGGAAAAGACTGATTATGGTTCACGCTGGATCGCGTGCTGGTTTCCTTCAAGGTGCGGGACTGAAGCTTGCTCGGAAATTGGCGACTACCATGGTCAGATGAACAGTACAAATTTTGAAAAGTGGGTTAGAGAGAAAATGTTACAGAATTTGCCCCCCAGTTCAGTGGTAGTACTTGATAACGTTCCATACCACAGTGTACAAGCAGATAAAGCCCCATCAAAATATTCGGTTAAATCTGAAATGATCTCATGGTTACAGCGGCACGGAGT